AGGTTGCTCTTTTGTCCAGTAAACGATGCAAGGGTTCAGCTATGGTCGCCTTCTGGGGCAAAAAGACGTTGTAAAAGTTTATGAGCCCCAGGAAGGCTTGGAGGTCTGTTCTATTTTGTGGAGTTGGGGCATTTTTGATTGCTTTAAGCTTTTTTTCCCGTAGGATGAATCCCTTGGCTATTGAGGAGGTATCCAAGGAACTCTACCCTCTCAGTGCATAGTTGACATTTATTTCTTTTAACCTTAAGGCCAACTTCTTTAAATTTCTGTAGAACCCTTCTGAGGCGCATCTCTAAAACGTCTTTGTTAGGGGCAGCTATCAAGACATCATCAAAATACGGTATGACTCCGCGTATACCCTGCAAGAGTCTCTCCATCAAACTCTGGAAAATTCCTGGAGCCACGCTCACCCCGAACTGGAGTCTTTTACACTTAAACGCACCCCTATGCGTGACGATAGTTTGCGCTTCCGCAGTTTCTGCATCAACAGGTAGCTGTTGGTACGCTTGTGCTAAGTCCAATTTAGCGAATATTTGACCCCCACCCAGGGAATGGAGGAGATGTTGAACTACCAGAACCGGGTATGCACTTTGTTGGAGTGCGTGGTTCAGGGTGGCCCGGTAGTCTCTGCATATTCTTATCGATCCGTCTGGCTTAATGGGTGTTACAATCGGGGTTTCCCACCGGGCGTGGTCGGTCGGTTCTAAAACACCCTGTGCTATTAGTTTATCAAGTTGCTCGTCAATCTTAGGTTTTAGCGCAAAGGGTACTCGATGAGGCTTAAGGCAGATAGGAGCTACTTCGGGGTTTAGATTAAATGATATTGGGGTCCCCTTGTACTTGCCTAATTCGTCCGAGAAGACGTCCTCGAACTCTTGGATGAGAGATGCCTCCCAGTCGTTGCTTTCGACTTGGTGGATGCCGGCTACTGTGATTCCGAGTGGTGCGAACCATTGTAGGCCCAACAAGCTAGGCCGGTCGCGATCGACGACGGTCAATGGCAGGGAAGCTGTATGCTTTTTAAAGGAGACCTGAACACGGCTGGAACCGACGACCAGGATTTGGTTCCAATGGTAATCTTTAAGTATTATCTTCTGGGGAGCGAGGTCTTGACGATGGATGGCAGGGATTAGTTGTTGGAGAGTCCTCCAGGACACCATAGAGAGGGATGATCCTGAGTCAACCTCCATGATGCAGGGTTGATTTTCTATTGCGACCTTCACTCGGATTTTTTTTCGCGTCAAGGGATGAAGCGTGACCGATGGTGATGGTTTGGTGAGTTTCTTCTTACCTGGTGGTCGTGGTGGATGGTTTGTTTCTGTAGGAGTGGCTTCTCCATTGGTGATTCAGTTGGTCTCAGTGTGTGCAGGGGAATACCGAAGACTGGCAGTTGGCCTGTCGGGGTTTTGAGCTGGAGCTCTGCTCGCTTCTACAAACTTTAGCGATGTGGCCCCTTTTTCCACAGGAATGGCAGAGTGCATCGAGGAATTTGCAGTCGGATCGTGGGTGATTTGCCCCACAACCCGCACATTGCCGCAGAAGTCGTTGGTTCCGCTGGTCTCTCTCTAATCATAGTCAGTTGACCTCTTCCTCATCGCTTTCCGATGGGGACTCTAGGTCTTCATGGTGTGCCATTGTAGAGTGCCTCTCGGGGCGAGACGAGTTGTCATTTGGGAGTTGATGGTGCGTTGCGTTGTTGCGGCGCATTCGGGCTGCCGACTTCTTGGTGGCTTCTGCTGCAGTAGCGTCTGCGATGGCCTCGGCAAGATCGATGTCTCCCTTTGCCATGATCTTGCTCTGTACCATGTGGTCCTCTAGTCCCAGAACTATGCGGTCTCACAAGGCTTCTTCGAGGTTTGCGAACCCACAGAGGCCTCCCAGATTTCGGAGGTCCGCGACATAGTCCGTGATACTTTCGCTTTTCTGTTGGACCCTCTGGTAAAATTCATGTCTCCGAACCAGTGTAGGTACCGCGGGTGCATAGTAGGCCTTTAGGAGAGGAGCGAGGACGTCCCAGTCCATGGTCTTCACTTCAGCCGGTTTTGTGAGAGATTTTGCCATTTTGAAAACGGCCGGTCCGCAATGGGTTAGAAAGATCGTTCGTTTCTTGCTGGTCGTCGCGTCTTTCAAGTTATTCGTCTCCAAAAACATTTGGAAACAATCCATATATGAGTCCCAATCTTCAGCCGCTGGGTCGAATGGAGCGGGTGGTATAGCACCGCTGGCCATGTTGCCGTCGTTGGTGCGTGTCAGCCACGTGCTCTGCTTGGCGCTCTTTAGTGTTCAGTCAGCTCTATCGTCTCTTGCATCCCACCTTCGTCGCCAGTGTTAAGTCTGGTTCATGGGTGCAAGTAATTGAGACGAGTCAGTGACTTAGTGAACTTCAACTCTTTATTTACAAGTATTAACAGAGCAAAAAACATAGGGCAGCAGTAGCCCTTTTATAGAGCTGGCTGCTGACCCGTTAACCAATGGGAGTTTATTAACCCCTGTGCTAGTGTCCAATGGGAGATGTTACTCTAATAGCCAATCGGGTTGTTCTACCCTGACCAATCCCGGCTAGCTATTTTGGACCAATCAATAGTGCAGGCTTTCGAGCCTGCTTTGCATTTTAATGGTAATACTTTTATTTAGGGTACTTTATTAATCCATAACAGGTTTGAATTTCAGAGACTTAGAAATGAAAAGAGAATGCAAATGATGTATCATTGGCATATAAGGCCTTAGAATTCATCCAAGATATATCAAATGACTTCTAATTGCTGTTGGAAATGTGAAAACTATGAGGGGACAATTTATCATGCGTGGTACACTTGTGAAATAGCAAGAAAATACTGGATACAAATAAATATGTTGATGCAGATAATTAAAAAAATAATATTCAGGTGAAATGAGAATTTTCTTTACTACCGTGTTTCTCCAACAATACGGCCTCCACCAATAGGAAGGCCCAGCATGATTTCTAAGCATGAGGTGAAATTAAGCCCCACCCCCAAAATTTAGGCCTATTTAAACCATGCGTTTCCCTGCCATTTCTCACATCGTTCGTTAGAACTACACGAGGTGAAGAGAAATGGGGGGGAAGGGCGAGGGGGGAGAAAACTTGCCTTTAGGAGTGCCCTGCAGGTAGCCTAGGCTAGAATACTCTGATCTACCGATAGATCATCAGCCGATAGAAGCTCCCTGAAGGCAGAGTCCCCAGCTGCTTCAGGGCGTGGCGTGGCTGCCTGTGTCCCCTTGGTGAGGGGAGTGTGTGTGTGCGCTCGCCCCGAGGCCGCTTCTACTGGCCAATCGAAGTGGCTGGTGACTGCACTTGGGGAGCTTCCATCACCTGAAAGACACTGCCTAATGGCGAGGGGACACGGGCAGCCACGCCACACCCTGAAGCAGCTGGGGACTCTGCCTTCGGGGAGCTTTCTTCGGCCGATAGAAGCGGCCTCACGGTGAGGGGACTGTGTGTGTGTCGCTCTAGGTGGGGGAACAAATTAAGTTATCCCCGAAAAGACGACCTAGCCATTTTTTCGAGGGTCAAAAAAAATAAGGCCCGGCCTTATTTTGTGAGAAACATGGTAGAATTTAATGGGCAGCCACTTAAAAAAGATTCATGGACAATTGATTTTATAAATGGTGACTGCAGTAAAGCTATTATATGCACAAAGATGAAAATGTACAGAAATAGGAACACTGGAGGGGTATATTGTGAAGATAGTAGAACTTACAGAAATAGCTAAATTGACTTGTATGATTAGTGAATTAACAACACTTTTATTAAAAAAAAAAAAACTAAAAACCCTTTGAGGATTTTTTTTTCTGGAAATGTGTAAAATGAAATGTGATTTCTGGATTTACTGATTAAAATGGATTGTTGTATTAGAAAAATGGAATTATGTCATAATTTTAGGGATGGAAATAGTATAAAGTATGCTTGCAACTCCTGTAAAGAAGATTGGAAATCACTTCTTTAAATAGTCATAGAAAAACAGAAAACTGATAGCAAAAAAAGACTTGATAGTCCTCAAGTCTGCCCTTGGAATTTTTTTGTTTTCTTTTTATTCATTATTTTATTGTTTCATTTTTTTATTTTTGTTGGATGATGGATATCCCAAACATATTTAAACTCTGCTATTGATGTATAACCCATTACCTCCACTGGAAGTTGGTTTAAAACTTCCACTACTTTTTCTGTCTTTCTAGTCCTCCTCCTCCTCCTCTTTCTATTGTTTTCTGCAATTTTTTTATTCTGTTCTATTTTTTCTTTACTATTTCTTTTAAATATATTTCGTACGTTTAAAGCCATCACTTTGGGCCGCCATTTTAGATCATTTAGATACCTATCTCCAAACTTATCCATTTTAGGAAAGGTTGTACCAAAGGTAATGGGATGTAGCTAGAATTATAAAGGTCTTTTTATCCAATTCCCTTCTTAGTGCATGATCCATTGAAAGACCACCATCCATCTTTTTAAAAGATGTCCAGCAAGAGCAACCTCCCTATAGAGCGCTTTAGATGAAGCAGAATATGGATGATCTCATCAGAATTGGATAGTGGGAGAACATCCTCTACACATCTGTGTCTCCCTTTTGACAATCTAGAAGGGGAAGTTTTCAATGTTTCTGCTTCTTCTGAATAGTGAAGATCAAAACAGGGTTGTGTTACTCAATATGGAATCTGCCTGCCTTTTATATGCAAACCAAGATGAGAGCTCTGGGTTCATATCATACAGGGGTAACCCTGAGGGATATGATTGTTGCTTACAGCTTGTCAGATCAGATCAGGATGCAAGCCACTAATGTTTTAGGACTCTACCCAGATTAGAAAGTACAGAGCTGGAGACATAGACAAACTTGTATAAAACAAATAATAAATAATCTGTTATGTTATTGGTAGCATAATACCTTTGTGAATGAGCTATCTAGTTTAATTTGAAAATAGAGAACATTGTTCTTTTCAAACTTCATTTTCCATAAAATAATAGTTCATTTCTCTAATTTTAATTTTAGATTGGATATAATCCATCATAATTGACATGAATAACAATGTGAAAGAAGTTCTTTACAACGCATTGCTTGAACTCCGTGAGAATCAATTTGAAGAATTTAAATGGAGGCTAGAATGCATTAACTACAATAGAATGCAAAACATTCATAAAGCTTTTTTGGAGAAAGCGAACCAACAAACAGTTGTAGACCTCATGATTCAATATTATGAAGAAGATGCTCCAGATGTGTTCATTCATGTCCTTCAAAAAAGCAACATAAATGACATTGCTAAAAAACTTGAGGAAACTTTATTGAAAGGTAAGAAAACCCAACATATTACAGAAATGTTCTTTCAAGATAAACTGGAAATAGATCCATTATGATTTAGGAAGCCGTCTCCCACTGAATCTTGTTCAACCAATTTGTTGTTGACTAGGACTGAAAGTGACTCCCTGAGATTTCAGAAGGGGACATTCCTTCTAGTCTGAAAGTCCATGTTTTGAGCATGGAATCAAATTTTAGAGAAGCATGTGCTCTGTCACTCACCTTGGCATTTTCTTACCATTGTCATAATAATATTACTAGAAAGGTTTAAGTCAAGCATCATTGATTTAAATGAATTGACATCCTTGAAAATTAAATTTAGTTTATTCTTTTTGTGACATGCTTCCTGACATAATACAGTATTAAGATATCTTACGGATGGTGATGTCTTTGTTTCTATTTAATAAAGAGGACTGAGCATATAATGCTGGGTGGAGCCCAGAGAACAAAGAAGGGCTCTTTCAGAAGCCCTAAGTGGAAAGCAACTGAGAGCTGATCTTGGGGAAAGACACCCCCAAAATATTTAAAATCCACTGAGTACATTTCTAAAATGGGGATCCCAAATCTGGGAACAAAGTAGTGTCCCAAAACTAGTCCTAATCCCAGATGCCTATTTACAACCCGTATAGCAGCTTTAGTTTGCCTTATATTCTTTTGGATGGTCTCAGACTGGTCGACATAGAAACAGCAGCATTCTTGAAGGAGGGCACAATCCACCCACCCCTTGAACATCCCTGTCCAGGGGACTGTAAATTTAGGAAACTACTTAGGCTAGAGAAGAAAGGGGTAAAAAGGTTGAATAGCTGACATTGCATCATTGAAACCTAGTTCATGTTTAGCTGAAATATGGTAGAGCTTGGCTTCTGAAACTATAATGCAGGGGTGTAAAACTCCCTGCACCCGGCCCATGGGGTGTTTAGATCTGGCCTGTGGGGCTGCCTTGGAAACAGCAAAGGACCGGTCTGCGATGCCTCTGCCAGTGAAAACGGACCTTGGGAGGGCCACCCGTTGCCCTCCCGAGCTCTATTTTTGCTGGCAGAGGGTTACTGGAAGCCATTGCAGCGAAAATGGAGCTTTGGAACTCGTTTTTGCAGGCAGCACCCTTGGACCACAACAGGTCCCCCCAACACGAGTGATATCGAGTTGAACATGGCCCCCCTGGCCCCCCAAGATCAAATACAACCCTGATGCAGCTCTCAGTGAAATCAAGTTTGACACTCCCACTCGAATGACTGAAAGAAACATACAGACAATTGGAAAAACCCAAAGAAATTGTTATCCAAAATGGGAGCTTTGCTATGATGAAGATGGTATGCAAAGCCCTCCAAATTTAAATTATACTTGAACAATTGTGGAGGATTTTAATGTGTTTTTTGTTTCACTCAGAATTTATCAGAGTTTCTCAGCTAATTCTCCCACGCTGTCAGCCACCCAGTACATACTTCACATTGCACAAGCCAAGTGTCCTAGAGTTTGAGCCAGTTAGTTTTGAGGAAGTGGTTGGGGTGCTTGGAAGGTTGAATCCTGCCCTCTTTCAGATCCATATTGCTCCTGATTGGTTAATGAAGGACTGTCAAACTCATGTCATCATGGCAGCATCATGTGACTTTTTCCCCATTCACTAAACTGGGTGTGGCCATGGCTAGTGTGTGACGCATCCAGCCCGCAGGCTGCGAGTTTGACAGCCCTGGGTTAAGGCTTCTCAGAGACCACATGTAGTGAATGCAAGAGGTAATAAATGTTTCTTTATGGGAAGTAATGATTCAACAATCATTTTTATGGGAAGGAATCTTGATGAAAAGGAATGATGCAACAAAAGTCCAAGATAATAAAAAAAGTTTCTTCCAACATATAAAGAACAAGAAAAAATCAAGGAAGCATTCAGTCGACTAAGGAGAGAAGACAGCAAGGAAGTAACAGGCAACAGAGAGAAAGCAGAGCTGCTTAACTCATTCTTTGCATCGATCTTCATGCAAAAACAAACTATAGCTCAACCCACCAAAAACATAACTGTAAAAGACAGACCAGAATAAAAGTTAAAATAAGCAAAAAAATATTAAGAAAACACCTGTCTGATCTTGATGAACACAAATCACTGGGGCAGGGGTGGGATTCTACCAGTTTTCATCTATTCGCTAGAATCGGTTGTTAACATTCTAAGCAGTTCGGAGAACCGGTTGTTAGAAGAAATTACTGGCCTAATCCTGTGAGGAAGGCAGGAAGGAAACATTCTGGTGTTGGTTACAGAAACCGCCTCTCCATTAACCCTTATTACATTCTTGGCAGGACTAGACTTCCTATGTCAGGAACATATCTGGAGTTTTTCCCCCTCCTTTGCTGGTACTTTGCTTGTGTAGAGTGACCATTTAAAGTTACAATGGCACTGAAAAAAGTGACTTATGACCATTTTTCACACTTACGACTGTTGCAGCATCCCCAGTCATGAGAGGCCAGGCGAGGAGACGCGTGCCTCGATGTGAGTGATATTGAATTGGCCACACCCAGCCAATAACATGACCACCAAGCCATGTCCACCCAGTCACATGACCACCAAGCCATGCCCACCACCTAAGCCACACCCACAGAACCGGTTGTTAAAAATTTTGAATCCCACGCCTGCACCAGGGCCTGATGGATTACATCCCAGAGTTTTAAAGGAGCTGGCAGAGGTCATCTCAGAACCACTGCACCATATCTTTCAAAAATCCTGAAGCACCAGGAAACTACCAGAGGATGGTTCCCATCTCAAAAAAAGAAAAAAAAACAGACCCAGGAAACTATAGACCAATCAGCCTAACATCAATACCCAGGAAGATACTGGAAAAGATCATAAAAAATCAGATCTGCCAACATCTAGAAACAAATAAAGTAATAACTAGCAGTCAGCATGGGTTTGTTAAAAACTGATCATGCCAAACTAATCTTCTTTCATTCTTCAACATAGTGACTAAATTAGTAGACTAGTGAAATACTGTGAACATAATATACTTAGATTTCAGCAAGGCATTCAACAAAGTAGACCACAACCTACTTCCCGGTAAGCTAGAAAAAAGTGGGATAGATAGCACCATCACCAGATGGATTTGTAACTGGCTGACAAACCATACTCAGCAAATAGTCCTTAATGGGTCTAAGTCTACATGGAGGGAAGTAAGCAGTGGGGTGCCACAAGGTTCTATCTTAGGCCCAGTACTCTTCAATATCTTCATTAATGACTTAGATGAGAGAATAGAAGGGGAACTTACCAAATTTGCAGATGATACTAAGCTGGCAGGAATAGCTAACCCCCAAGAAGATAGGCTCAAAATCCAGATGGATCTTGACAGACTAGAACATTGGACTGTATCTAACAAAATGAAATTTAATGTAGAGAAAAGTAAAGTCCTACACTTAGGCAAGAAAAAACAAAAATACACATATAGACTGGGTGAAACCAGGCTTAATAGCAGTAACTGAGAGGGATCTTGGAGTCTTAGTGGATAACCAGCTAAATATGAGCCAGCAGTGCGCAGCAGCAGCCAAAAAAGCTAATGCAATCCTAAATTGCATTAACAGAGGGATACAATCAAGATCAAGTGAGGTACTAATGCTACTCTATGAAGCCTTAGTAAGACCACACCTAGAGTACTACATCCAGTTTTGGTCACCACACTATAAAAAAGATGTTGAGACTCTACAAAAAGTACAGAGAAGAACAACCAGGATGATTAGGTGACTGGAGATTAAAACATATGAAGAACAGTTACAGGAACTGGGCATGGCTAGTCTAGTGAAGAGAAAGACCAGGGGACACATGATAGCAGTCTTCCAATATTTGAGGGGCTGCCACAGACAGAAAGAGTCAAGCTATTTTCTAAAGCACCTGTAGGCCACACAAGGAATAACAGGTGGAAACTGAACAAAGAGAGATTTAACCTGGAAATAAGGAGAAACTTTCTGACAGTGAGAACAATCAATCAATGTAACAGCTTGCCCTGGAAGTTGTGGGAGTGTCATCACTTGAGACTTTTAAGAAGAGATTGGACTGCCATTTGTCAGAAATGGTATGGGATCTCCTGCTTGGGTGGGGGGTTGGACTAGATCAGGGGTCGCCAAACTTTTGGACACTCAGGAACGACCAAACTCATAATTTTAAATCACAGGGACCACTAACCGGTTCTGTGGGTATGGCCTAATTTGTGGGTGTGGCTTGGTGGTCATGTGACTGGCTGGGCATGGCTTGTATGTAAATATTATAAATATTTATATAAATATTGAATTTTTTATAAAAAAGAGCAACTTTTACCCAAAATCAGGCAAAGCAGGCAGGCAGATTGAGTTGCTCACAGAAT